ATTTTGTGAGAATAATGGTGACAGTTCCTCTTCACTGCAGGTTGTTTATTATTATATGTCACTGTGGTGTTATACAGTGTCATGGGGGGGGTTTCAGAGTATTGTTCCTGTACAGTAGTTACCCAGTGTCGTTATTTGAACTTGTGCTGTGAAATTCTAAACCTGTTTGTTCTTCATAACCTTTGACAGCTTTATCATAATTGTGCACACACTAAGACTTCATCTGACATTGCTGACTAATTTAATTATTTTTTTCTATTAATCAATTAGATGAAGGTGACGTTTTCATGTTTTCAAGCTGTGTTCACTCAGTGTTTTGTACCTATGTCGTCTTCAAACTACATTTGACTGATGCAGTAAATATTTACACAGCTTTAGTGTCTCAGATTTTGTCGCCTGATTATGTTGACATGAGCCCTGCTGGCAAAGTTGGTCTTGAATTTCAGATTCAGTATTGAAGGCTGAATTTTTACAGCACTGCACAAAGAGCAAAGATATTAGACTGTAAATATGTGGTAATATAAAATAATATTTTTTCTTTCCAGTGTTATAACAAGTCTTTTTCTTTTTAGGAATTGGAGGGGATTAAGGGCCCCCTGCTATTAGCCCAGCATGGACAACTTCTTCAAGGCAGCTGTATGTGATCTGGACAAACTGCTCGATGACTTTGAGCTGAGTGCTGGTAAGGTCTCTGTTATTTTCATTACTGATTGATCTGCTTATTGTCTCCTAGAGCTAATGGATTGATTTATTGCATTAAATGTCAAGAAAGAAAAGGGTCCATTACAATTTTTAAATCTCCTGCCTGACCCACAGTCCAAAACTGAAAGATATTCAATTTGCAATGATAAAGAACATCTAATCTTCACTGTGGAGAAGCTGAAAATGTAAATTACAGACATCTTTGCTTAAGTACAGTCTTATGCAAAAGTTTAGGCACCCCTTGATAAATAACAGATTTTGGTGATTTTTTATTTGAACAGATGTTAACACAGTTTCTCTTGGAAATGGAAAAAATGCACAATATTTTCTGCAAACAGTGATGCATAGTTACTTCTTATGCCATAAATTGAACAAAAATAAAAAATAAAAACATGATTATGGCATGGTGCAAAAGTTTGGGCACCCTAAGAGTTCCAGAGTCTCAAAGTCTCTCACAAGGTATCAGACCTTAATCAGCTCGTTAGATCTGATGCACAGCAACAGCTGTCATTGGTAAATGCCAATTTCAAAGCTGTACAAATACTTTGACTCTTCAAACCTTGTGCACACACTTGTGGACACCCAGCAACCATGGGTTCCTCTAAGCAGCTGTGTAAGACCCTGAAAATGAAAGTTATTGACGCCCACAATGCAGGAGAAGGCTACAAGAAGATAGCAAAGCGTTGTCAGCTTGCAGTTTCCACAGTAAGAAATGTAATTAAGAGATGGCAGATCAGGGGAACTGTGGAGGTCAAGAATCACGGAGCTAGTTTTATTGTTGTTCTGTTTAGAAATCAGAAACATAGTGTGATGTCTAAATTATCTTTTGTTTTTAACATGTTTTGTTTTGTTTATTTCAGAAGAACCTGAATGCAAGTCTGTTTTCCTGAGGCCTTCTGCGTACCCCTTCTCCTCACTGGGCTCCCAGTGTTCATCCTCAGAGGTGTCCACTGAACCACAGAGTCTCTCGGACCTTAATTCTCTTCATTATGGTTTGGCCACCAGCTGTCCTGAGCACCCCAGCAGTCACAACCACAGCGCTGATGACAGAGAGGTCAAAGGTCAGCCTCTCACTGGAGTGGACCTTCTATCCTCCGTGGATCGCAGGCCAGCTCAGAGCTCTGCCCCTCCCTGCCCAGATCGAGCTCTGAAGCCAGTGTGCGACCTCGTGAATGACACAAGCTCGGCCATCCTGGTCAGGGCCAACGGTCACGATGCTTTCAGTGAGCTGGACATAGTAGAGAAGCAAATGGAGGCAGAGGAGTTGCTGCTTGTGGACTTTGACAGCCCCGTGGTCACAGATGAGCAAACGGGCCTAAGTCAAAGTGGAGGCTGTAGAGACACTGAGCAAGAGCAAGCCTCTGCAGCGAATGACGAGCTTCAGCGTCCTGACGCCCAGGAGCAGGGTGGTGCATACTCTGCCTCACTCAGTTTGCTGGATGTCATTCTTCCTGCAGCGGTGGAGAGGGGCTGTGAGGATTCACTGTCACCAGGGGCCGTTGAGTCAGCTAACAAAGACGAGGGGGGCTGTGATGAGCTAGCTTGCACAAACCACATGGTGGATAACCCTTTAGACCACAGTGAACCAGGTGGAACCCTGCCTGCTGCGAGCATTGACGAAACGACAACAAACTCGGTGAATAAACAGTCACAAGAAGCCTCAGATAAAGGTGAGGCAGAGTCTTCAGCAGGTGTAAAAGCAGGGGCCTCAGACAGTGAACCGGTGGGCTTGTCATGCCTGCCCATAGCTGTGTCCATGTGTGGAGCCCTGCTAAGCACAGAGACAGAAGGAGACGAGTCAGAACAAGCTGCAGAGCAGTGTGATGAGACCTATGTCTCTGAGAGCACAGAGGCAGACGCTCTGTCAGCTTCGGAGGACAGGCCTCGTTTAGAGGGACCTGTTGACCAGTCAGTGTCCCAGCAGGTTGCAGAGGGCAGGCTGTCGCCAGAGGGGCAGCATGTCTCTCTCAGACCATCTGCCGTGTACCACCCCTCCTCCGACTGCTCAGAACCCAGCCCAGAAGATCCTCCTGAGTTTGGCTTTGAGTATCTCCCTGAGAGTGACCAGGCTGAGCTGCTGGTTACAGACGAGGAGCTGGATGCCTTCCTGCAGGCTCACACTGAGGCAGAGCAGGGCAGAGGCATCTCTTACTGCAGCAGGTCTGGAGATTGTTCTCAACCTGAGAGCCTCTCAGAACCAAATAGGAATCTGGAGGACCGGCTTGTGGAGGAGGAGCCTAGGATGTGTGGTAGAGGTCGACTGGAGGAGCTAGAGGGTCTGGCCTCTCCAGAGAGCGACAGAACAATGCGTGTGTCTGTAGAGGGCAGTTTTAACCCTGGTGCTCCATCACTCTCACAGGACTCTTGTAGACCCTGGCAAGGAGAGCCAGACCTCTCCTCTGGGTTAAACCATTCTTTAACCAGCAACACTTTCCAGTCCCAGCACAGCAGTAGCCCTGATCAGCAACCCTCCTATGGAGGCGCAAGACCTAAACAGCTACACTGCCAAACTGCAAGATCTCCACCAGCAGGGGAAGAAGGGGAGGAGCAGGCTCAGATGCTCAGTGGGTCTTCAAGAGGCATGACTATGACAGAGGATGAACAGAGTTCACCCATGAGCCCAAGTCTTACAGAGGAGCTTTCCAGCCCTATATACACTACTCAGGAGCATCAGGATTACAGTGTGGGGTATGATGAGCTTTCAGAGCCCCCACCTTACCCCGGGGAGTCGCCCACAGATGGTGCCAGGTCAGTGAGCTGGAAGAGAGAGGGAGTGGACGAGCTGGGCAGCAGGCAGCCTGCGTGGGTACCCGACTCTCAGGCCCCCAAGTGTATGAACTGCTACCAGAGGTTCACTTTCACCAAGAGGCGGCATCACTGTCGAGCCTGTGGGAAGGTCAGTGAGGGAATCCACCACATTTTACAGCAAGTTTCACTGGAATGATTTGTGATTGGGTGGCCAGCTGCAAATAACGATTCATCTGCCAGTTATTCTCTGTTAGTGAAATGATTGGACCATAATATGCTGTCAGATCAAATATTTGTTTTCTTAAATGCTCATCACAGTTTTCCAGAGGCCATGGCGGCGTATTCAAAATAGATGTACACTTCATTATCATAACAGACTCCTCAATTGTGAGATGCAGGGTATTTTTGGCATAAAAGATTCTGTAAATGATTAACTGACTATCAGAATTGTTGCTACAAATTTTCTTTAATGATCTTATTGATTAACTGATTGTTTGAGCTTTAGTGTCAGACATAAATGAAATCTTTGGGGTTAAGGAATAGCAGCTGGTGTGAGGAGCCTTCAAGTCTAAAAATATGACTGAACTAAAAGTACCAAATTTTTCTGATCAGCTTCAGCTATGTGCTTGTTGTATATGATTTAATGTTTGTGTGTATAAGGAGACGTGAGGCATAACATTTTAACACTGTGTGAAGAAGTGAGAGTTGCTGTGACCTGTGCGTGTTTCAGAAACGTTAAACACACCAGTTGATGTCACAGGACCAAATATAGCACAGTGGGCTCATGGCTGCAGAGAGAGTGAGTCAGCAGCTCTTTTTCCAGCCTGTCGATACAGCTCCACTGAGCAGTGCGTCCGAAAGCTGCAGCTAAGTCCTTTAACGGCTACTGATTGAAACGGGACTGTTTAGGATGTTATTGTTCACAGCTCGGCTAGACTTGTGATCATGCTTACACATGCTGTGTATTATTATGTCTTTGTTCCTGCCCGCGAGGATGTGCTGTCCATGTCAGATGCTCTGTAGCATGTGTTTTACATCAGTGCCATCTCTTCTCTTCTCTGGCAGGTTTACTGTGCTATGTGCTGCAGCAGGAGGTGTAAGCTGAGGTACCTGGAGAAGGAGGCTCGAGTGTGTACCATCTGCTTTGATAGCATACACAGAGGTAAGAGCCCAGCCTGATCGGAGGTCAGCTTCAGCTGCTGTAGTTTCACTTCATGTTTCTGCAGTCACATGAGGAAAGACTAGTTCCAAATTAATCTGTGCATCTGAGATGGTATGAAAGGGTCTCAGCTCATTTATGTGAGAGCCTCCCCACATTCAAAGGCTTAGAAGAGCATCTGGAGAAAGCTTTTTTCTAATGGTATCATTTATATAATGATGTATTTATGCTAAACACCTGTGAATGCACAGGTGATTGGCTGCACGTAACCTCCAGTTATGTGCCTCCCTCCCTTCTAACCTGAAGTGTTTTGCTTGCTAACAGATGACTGTGTAAATACAAGAGATGAATAATGACCAGACAGAAACAGCAGAGCAGTCAAATGTTTATTCTTACCCGACTTAGTGAAAGCTGTTCTGTAGGACCTAATAGTTGATGTTGAACATGTCGTAAGTCGATGTACACAGCACTTTGAAGCTGCACTGATCAGTATTAGTGTGTATGTTAACAGTGGCTCCAGTGACTGACTAATGTAAAAGGTGGTGTTTGTAGTAACAAGTCCTCTGTGACCAGTTTTAGCATCTTTCAGCTCATTGTTTGCATCACGGGAGCCGTTCTGAAGTCAGATGTACGCAGCCTATCTAGCACCAAACAGCACACAGACACAGTTTAGCAGCCCAGTAGGCTGACTCTCATGTTAGACTCTCATATTTAAGGGGGCCATAAACATGTCTTCTGATTAATGTTCTTCTGTTGTTGCTCGGTGTGTAAATAAGTAGCTGTTTACCAACACATTCATCAGGAGCTGATGATATGTCAGTGTTGAAGAGCTTGTCCTGCCCCAGTTTGCTGGTGAAGATCATAACAGGGTTTTATTGATGTCAATTTTTCATCCCCTCACAGGAAACTAAAGCTATGAGTCGTCTCTTAAACCTTAAAATAGCCTGAACTCACTAGCTGTTATTAAAATGTAATAACTTCACACTGATGCGTTATTCAGTAGATGAATATTTAAACACCCTGGGGCTTTTTTCTTAGGTCCCTCTGAACATCTGATAAAAATGTAAGCATCCATATAAAGAGTTGTCTTTTGTTTCTGTTTCTGTAGTGTTCAAAAAATCTGCTTTGATGATGGAAGGCAGAGGCTCTGTGTTATAGCCAAAGGCTGCAGAATGGATGTGGGGAGGGAGAGAGGGAGGAGAGTTACAGCAGGGCACTGGCGTTTGTCCTTGGCTGTGTGTGTGTGTGTGTGTGTGTGTGTGGTACAGGACCCGCCTAACACAGCAGACGTGATGCTCACACCCAATCTGAATTAAGGAGAAAGAGGTGATCCACTTTTTGTGGAGGATGCTCGAGCAGTGTGATGCGATCTGCCTCTCCCCTCCGTCACCGCAGCTTCCTCCCTTCCCTCTGTCGCTGCTATCCATCCCTCATGTCAGTGTGGTGAGCTGCGTGTGAGGCTTACGGCACACACCCCAGCATAAAGCTAACGGGCTCTTAGACTCGTGAAAATAAGCGAGGAGCGGCTTTAGAGGAGCTGTGATGCGTCTGAAGTCAGACTGAGGAATAGACTCATGGTGATGTGGAGTTGAGTTGTAGCAGAGGTGGATGATGAGGATGAGGTAAGATGCATCTGACTTCTCAGTAAGTAGCCTGTGTACTGCTCCTCTGTTTTTATAAACTGTGCAGATGATGCAAACCACCATTTTCACTAGATGTTAAAAAGGAGTATTAGTGCTATGTGCAAAATGGAGTCTTTTTTTTTTGCATATTGACCTTTTGTGCCTCATCATCCTTTCCATGCAGAGCAAAGTGAGACAACTCCTCTTATAGCAATGCTGTCTGACTGACAAGCGACTGAACGTTTGTATTTCCCACGCTGTTGTTGTCAGTGCACACCTGACTGATAAAGATCTGTGATGCTTAATCAGTATGATGTCGATGAAAGCTCCATCAGCATTTTGTGGGAACACAACCAGGTGTTGATAATAAAACCTTTCAGTCATAACCAGCTTTCTTGGGAGTAACGGCTCATGTCTGTGCTGTTTCCAGTGACCTTTGTTTGTCTGCACTGTGGGTGAATTGTCCAGTTTTCAGAAAGCTCCTTCAAGGATTCAGATCAAATGTTAATGTGTCAGATTTTGTCTGGAAAAATCCCTTCCTTTCCAGTTTGGTGACTGAACCACACATGACAAATTATCTACAAAGACATGCAGTATTGTTCCGTGTTACACAGAGACTATCGTTACTGCCCAGGGACTGGCACTTCCCACATGCAATGATTAGTCATTACATTAACCACAAATCACTGTCTTGTGTTTTTCTGTCAAGCTCGTGCCCTCTGAGCTGGCACAGTTATTAATCCTTGTCTGTTTGTTTGCGTCAGTGATGCAAAATGTGGCCCAACAGGAAAGTGTGTGGCCTGCTGTGACCTGCTACCTGCATGCTATAAAAACAAATGACACTTACGCTAACTCAGGTGTCTAAAGGTCATCTATGCCTTTTAAAGAAAAAGACAGTTTTGATAAATTAACACAAGACAAACAAGTAGCTTGGTGAGTATAAGTGCTTAACTGAGTAAAATAAGGGAATCAGACAAGGTGCAGTGTGGACCGTGGTCTCCTGAGGATCTATATTGACAACTAGGTGGAAACCAGAATTCAAACTGATCTCCCAGCATCAAGCCATCATATCAGCCACTACCTTGGTTTGCGAGGGCTAACGTGTTAGTGAACACTTGCCTGATGTTATTCATACCCATCCAGCACAAATGGCAGTGTTGTTTCCTCCGTGAGTTTAGTTTAGCACATCATGGTTTTGCACAGGGCTCTTTTCATTAGCTTGAGAGCAGCTGCCCATAGTCTGTCTGTACATTGTTCATTTAAACAACACATTAGGGTGTAGATTTCTTTAAACAGCTGAGCTAAACAAGACAGATTCTGCAGCCATGCTTAGAATCAGAATCAGCTTTATTGGCCAGGTGTGATGGACACACGAGGAATTTGACTCAGGTACATCAGCTCTCAATGTGCCCTGTAGGAGTCTGTATGATCTGTACAATGTACATTTACAGTTTATATTTAGCAGTGTTTTGAACAGAATGTGAATGTCCTAATGTAATGTTTAGACTATCAGCTTGTTAACATATTAGCATATGTTAGCAAGAGAACTTGGAGCCTGATGTGTGCCGTAGATGATAATGCAGCAGCTCATTAAAGTTGGTGCAATTTTTGTTGAAACGTTTCACTCAAAACCACAAGTGGTTAGCCTCGCTAGGGGAAAAGTCAGAGGATCTTCATCATCCATACAGAAATGTGTGCCAGTCTAAAAAGTGGAAGGTAAGATATTTCATAGGATGAGTGGAAACTCTGACCAGCTGGCGGATGAATATCCTCACCAAATACCACGACTACTCATCAAATTGTTGTTAAGGTATTTCACTAAAAACCAGAAGTCAGAGCATCACGGAAGTCCTTAGGCTTCATCATCAAAATGTCACGGTAACCCTGAACATCCAGCTGATGCTACATTCCTAGATCTATACCACCAGCAAGGCCAATAAAAATCAGTCAAGTGAGGAGAACTACTTGAGTTAAAAGAGTAAAATCACATTTGAAATCCCTGTTATAATGAACTCACCTTTAATGGCATCGTTCTCCTTGTAGCCCAGGCCCTGGAGCGTATGATGAGTCCTACGGGCCCCAGTCCGAACCCCAACGTCCCATCTGAGTACTGCAGCACCATCCCCCCTCTGCAGCAGGCTCGTGCAGCCGGCACTCTAAACTCACCTCCACCCACCGTCATGGTGCCTGTGTCTGTTCTCAAACACCCAAACAACGACAGTATGATTACCCTTATGTACTGTACATAGTCTGAAGTTTGCTGAGTGTTTGCCTGAACTGCTCCCTTGAAAAAACGACATCTGTATTTCATGTGTTATCAGGCTGCCCTCGTGAACAGAAGCACGTGTGGTTTGCTGATGGCATCTTGCCCAACGGAGAGGTGGCAGACACGACCAGGCTGTCGGTGACGAGCCACAGGAGCTCCCAGGAGCCGAGTGGCGTTACCTCTGGCCAAACAGCAGTAAGCGGGACACTACTTCCGTTCAGTAGCTTCTCAGTTTTACCACTAGCTCACAACAAGCCACAAGTTTAGTGGTTACCTTGTGCTGAGAAAGTCGGGTTCTTCTCAAGGTGGATATACTGTAAACATTCAGTTATTATGAGCAATGCAATGATTCTGTTGAAGTCTGATGGGAGTACTAGCAGCTGGCTGTCTCATTTCAGCCTGGCTCTGCAGGCTCAGAGGTTGGAGTCAGTGGCTCGTCAGCCCCCGAACCTTCTGGCGCTGCAGAGGCGGTCCGGCCCCCGCTTTCCGGGCCCTGGGATTATGCCCTGCTTTGTGGAATCAGTTCCTCGGTGAAGAGGGTTCCCAGTCTACTGCCAGACAGTGAAGATGAGCTTCCTCCTCTGCTCATCACCGCTGGAGACGAGGATGGAGGAGGTTTGTGTTTGTTTCAGTGCATTCGCTTGTTTGTGATGGTTTTATTTCTTCAGATATGCACCTCAGTTTTACGTCAGTCTCATTTTCTTGTAGAAGTCATACAGGTCTGACTAGATAGTAACATGTTGGTGAGGTTTTGGGCACCCATCTGAAATGAGCGCCGGCAAAAACCACAGTGGCACAAGGTTAAATACACAGGACGATTAAATGTACGGTGTCTTTGCCTGATGACTGAAAATCAGTTCTCAGCTCATCTGGTATCATCTAAAATCCATTTTTCAATATTCTACCATGTATCTTGGAATGTTCAATGGTTCATTATATTACTAAATATTCTCAATTACAACAGAGAAGTATTGTCAAAGGTCTAATTTCAATTACATATTAAATGATTGCACCCGACTCTATTAAATTTCATTCTGTATGGTATTAAAATGACCTGAACTTGGTAACAGTGCAGGAAAAGTCACCTGTGCCTCAGTAACGGCAAAGGGCTCACATATAAATGTAACTTGACTCTGAGAGTCTTCTTCTTCTTTTGCTCTGCGGTCTTTACTTTTCAGATGCTTTGGTTGAGGAAAGCCTCGCCCCAGGCCAGATTCTGCATCTGCTAGAGGAGGGAGGCCCCCGCCCGCTGATGTTCGTTCTGAACGCCAACCTGCTAATCAATGTCAAACTGGTTACATGTGAGTACAATGCATCTCAGATCATCAAATCTGTACATCCTGCATATATGTTGGATAAAAACAAGACTTGTCTGTGTGTCCCCACAAGCCTAGCCCTGGTTAACTCTGTATTTCCCCTGCCAGACTCGGGTCGGCAGTGCTGGTGCTTCGGCTCTAATGGACTGCAGGCTCTGGGGCAGAGAGAGCTCGTGTTTTTGTTGGAGTGTTTGCCAGAAGAAAAAAGTCTTCCAAAAGACCTTTTCACACTCTATCTCACTGTTTACCACGATGCCCAAAAAGGTAGGTAGCACCTACTGTTGACCTCACCTTGGTTATCTCACCCATGGAAATGAAACGCTGCAGAATGATTCTTCTGTGTTTCAGGGAGGTTTGTGGAGGAGCTGGACAACATGATGTTCACGAGCAGTTTCCTGGGCAGCAAAGAGCACGCGGGGATGCTCTTCTTCTCTCCCACCTGTCAGCCTCTAGATGGCCTCACTCTCCCGCCACGGCACTTCCTGTTTGGCCTGCTCATCCAGAAACTGGAGGTCCCCTGGGCCAAAGTCTTTCCACTCAGGCTGCTTCTACGGCTCGGAGCCGAGTACAGTGGTGTGTGACTCTCTGCAGTTCACTGGTCAAGTTCCATATGAAGTGTAATAAGTCTTCATATGGTCTCAAATTCACCAGGCATCTGATACTGTTGGACATGTTCCTGCTAATAACAAAGGAAAATAACTGATTTACTGCTGATGCCAGCCCTCGTCTCTGTACTGATGGTGTAGACAAAATGATTTATTGAGAAAAAATTTGTCAGATAATGAAAATAATTGGTTGCATCAGGCTTAAAAACAGTTTTGGCCAAAATAGTTTGAAGGAAACCTTGTATTTAAAATAGTTCATCAGCTTTTTATAGGCTGCAGGTAAAGGGGATTAGTTATGATGTTGCTCACAGTCTCTTCTCTTTTTTCAGTGTATCCCACTACGTTGATTAGTGTTCGTTTTCGGGAGCCTGTGTATCGAGAGACAGGACACACCATTATGAATTTACTGGCTGTAAGTACAGAAACACAAGCAGATGCAGTCGATGCCTTTGTCGTCACCAGTAATCACGTTTTGTTGTGAATGTGTAATGTCCACGTAAACAACCTGAGTGCAAATATTGCCAAAAAGTTTGAAGATAAATGCAACAAAGTGCAATAAAAATACACACATTCACACAACGGATTGCAGGTTTCCTGGAAATGAGGTTAAACTTTGTGCTACATTTGAATGGAAGCCTTTGTTTCACACGTTTAGCAAGTTGTACTCAGAACTAAAGCCACATGCTTGTGCTCCCAGTCCCACTGAAACCACATCGGTTTTCTTTTTTTATTAAAAGACTGTTTTGAATTAAGATGCAGAGGAGGTCCTGCCTGCTGCTGCTCATTCCTGACATCAGGCTATTTCTCAAATGGTACTAAAGACCGCTAAAGTTAAATGAAAATCATTGAGACTGTATGTAATTTTAAACCTGGAAGGGTTTTTTTTTTTGTTAAGCAAGACTATGAATAGATCCACTGATAAAGTTCCAGTCATTGCTCTGTGTATGAGACGCCAAAGCATCTGGAGCAGCATGATCTGAGAATCTGACGCAGTCGATCGCATGACTGGTAAATGTTTGGCAATGCTGCCGGCCGGCTCAGGCCCAGCCTATCACAGATTAGGAGGTTTGGAATAAAAACACGTACATCAGTCAGTCTACACTGAACAACCGAGGTGGTCAAAAATGTCAGTTTAGCCATTTACAGTAAAGTCTACAACACAATGAAGTGAAGAGCCACTATACATAGGTTTACATCTTCAGAGACTGTGTAAAGGATCAGTTTTAAGTTCCAGTATTAACAACATCAGATGCACATTGTTGCCCTCAGTCGTCTCCCCTGTGTGCACACATGACACCGGTATTTACAGTATTACTCTGCAGACATGATTCAGTACCTTTGCACTGTTTGACTGCAGGACCTGAGGAATTACCAGTACAGCCTATCAGTGGTGGAGGGCCTGAGGATCCACATGGAGATGGGCCACAGTTACATCGACATCCCCAAAAGTAGCTTCAACGAGGTAGGAGAGCCTTAAAAGAACGATGTGAGAGCTGCGCTTGACAAGAGTTAGATGAGAAGTTCAGTATTGCTGTTTCACTTTTGGTCTGCTGAACACTAGAACCTTAAAGGTCCAGGTCTTGAGAAGCTTCCGGTTCCAGGCTGTTGAGATTCTGCACCAAGTTTAACAGCAAGGCTTTTACATACAGAATAAACCAGGAACACCGGCAGACTCACAGCAACGCAGTGCAGCTGGTTCACTGTGAACAATGTGTGCTACAGATGCAGAAGGTGATAAATGCCTCCAACGAACACGTCATCAGCATCGGAGCCAGTTTCACCTCGGAGGCCGACTCTCACCTGGTGTGTTTCCAGACTGAGGAGGGAAACTACCAGACCCAGGCCAACAGCATGCCTGGGAAGACCCGCACAGGTGAGTGTGAGTAGTCAGACAGTCCTCTGGTTGTGTCGAAGCAGATGAGGGACGCGTACACATGGTAGCATCACACACATTCACACTGTGTGATTGTTGTCCCGTTATAGAAAGCGATAACTGTGTGGTGGTTTGTTGCAGTGACCGGGGCCAGTTTTGTGGTGTTCAATGGAGCGCTGAAGGCCTCCTCAGGCTTCACTGCCAAGTCGAGCATTGTCGAAGGTAACCGCTGTTTGTTCACTCTTACTTGATGATGGCGAAGCTGCAGACTAAGCTACAACATAGTAACTTGCCTGATGTTCTTTGTTGGTCCAACCTAACTGGACTTTGTCTCTCTGTGTCAGATGGGTTGATGGTTCAGATCCCTCCTGAGACTATGGAGTCTCTGCGTACTGCCCTGAGGGAGCAGACGGACTTCCACATACCCTGCGGGAAAAATGACGGAGGGGAGGTGAGAGAAAACGTCACTGTCCGCTGGGTTGACTGGAGTTCACCCATCAACACAGGGTAATGGCACGGCACGTGCGCGCACACACACACACACACACACACACACACACACACACACACACACACACAGCTATTCACACACTCCTGAGCAGTCTTTCTGCTTCTGCACTACTGCCCTGCCACTCACACGCTCTTATCCAGCTGTTCATACAGGTGTTACCGTTTGTGGTAGTACACCCAGATGTTGTTGCTCCATTGGTGTTACTTTGTGTTCTTGAGTTGACGTAGCCTCCAGCAGGTGCCAACAAAAGAAAAGCTGTTACCAGTATTTAAACACAACTTCTGAGATGTTTATTTTGTCCCTGTTTCTCATCTGCTTCTGTTTTAATATGCTGTTGGAGCTGTGTTTTAGAAGTGCAACACTCTTCTCCATGTTTAGTTGTTGTCTTTAGAAATTCCACTCACATCACACTCACTGCTCTGCTGCTTTCAGTTTCTCGCTTTAGAAATTCCATCAGTACAATAACAGTCACATCACCATCACTGCTCTGCTGCTTTCAGTTTCTCGTTTCAAACAAATAATGTTTAGTTTCAGTTTAAACCTGTGATGTGGATTTTGTGACTGTTGTTGTGCAGCAGAACGAGCGGTGTTGATGGGAGACCTCTGGACGGAGTCCGCAGTGTGAGGGTGCAGCAGGGCTCTGAGTGTGAGTCAGATGGGCGCTCCATCAGGTGCACTGAGGTGAATTTCCCTTTTAATGAACAGATTGAGTCCAACGTTCTGCACATACTGGCTCCAGTTGACTGGGTAACCGACTGTTTTGAGATTAAAATGGTCCTGCTCCCTCTCAAAGTTTGGTTCTTTGGTTTCTTTCATTCATCCTGGATGAAGTTAACTAATCTGGCAAACTGTGTTATTCATGCACGAGGAATGTGGCTCATGTGTGTGTGTGAACGTTCCTCCAGGTGTTCTACCAGCTGAAGAGCCTGGACTGCAGCCTGGTGTCAGTTCTGCCATCCTGCAGCGTGTTTCAGAAGGAGATGGCTTTGGCTGCCTGCAGCGCTCTGACTCCTCACCTCGCTGTTCTCACCTCCTGTGGCATCAACTCGCTCTCTCTGCGCGTCTCCACACAGGCTGATATGGTACGTAGATGGTCTTTTTAACAGAACAACTTGTGTTGAGTTAGACTAAGTAGATCAGTGTGTGTGTCTGCTCTCAGGTGGAGTACCAGGCTGGCTCTGGGGGCAGACTTCTCCCTCAGCACTACATGAACGAGCTGGACAGCGCCCTGATCCCCGTCATCCATGGAGGGTACGCCAGTGTGCCGCAGACTGCCATGGACATAGAGTTCATCTTCTACATCACCCATTCCATCTGATAAACACACAGGCTGTAACAGAGTCAACGTGAGCCGCTGATTGTGGCAGGACGAGTCGCCAAGTAGACGTCTCCACCCTGAGGCTGGGATGTAAACTGAAATGATTCTGGTTTTCTGTTAAGGAACTGTTGTATATTTGTGTTTTTCATGCTCACCAAAGCTGCTTTAATGCAAGAAGCCAAACACTAAACAAGGAATAACACAATATGACCAAATACAACCAAACTATCAAACTGTTTTCCTCTGCTCTGCCTTCCTCCGTCAGCTCGGAGCGCCTCAGTGAATGTCTCACACAGACACTTTCATTTGGATGTGTTTATTATGTTTTAATATGGGTTTACTAATGAAACGATGAAGCTGGGGGCGTGACTGGCTGCAGTACCCAGTGCTCAGGGGGCCACTTCACACAGTAGCTGGGCCTTTCTAAAAACGTGTATCGCAGGGATGAAGAGACATTGCTTGTCTTTTTCTCTTAAGGTATAACGGGCCTCGTGCAAGAACATTTATCATCTCATTGTAAACTTTGTTCCCTGACAAGCGTTCGAGTCACATTCACCGAACCCGGAACATGAGTTGCTTATTTCAGCGTGATTAATGGCCCCTTTTAATGAGCAGGATCAGCCTCTGGTATTTAATTATGAGCATAATTAGCTCCCTTAAATTGCTATATAAGAAATGTCCCTGTGTTGAGACTGAGCGAGGGGCTGTGTGAGATCCACCTGGTCCCGTGTGAGCAACAGGCCGATGAGTGTGAGTGCTAAACACCAAAGTTCTGCACAGCTGTTAGTAACCCTCTGGTACGTGGTGATCACCTTCCAAACCCTTAGAACTGAAGCGTTCACAGTAAACGATAATCTCCCAGGAAGATGAGTATGTGGCCAGTGCAGGGACAGTTCACGGTGTTATTTTGTTTGAAAAATTTTAAATAGGTTCAACTTTTTTACTGAATAATTTTTTTTTTTTTTTTGGTTACGCTGTCATGATACACGAAGAGACGTTTTTCCTGTAACATTGATTCTTTAATTCAAACAGGTTTTTCCTTGTGGGGAAATGCAGACACGGCTCTAACAACAGATATGGTTCCACGTTGGGACGAGGCTGTTCTCTGGTTCTTGTGAGATGCCCAGTGTGTGTCAGTAACCGGGTGGGTGGAGCTTACCTCACGAGGCCCAGTGTGTGTCAGTAACCGGGTGGGTGGAGCTTACCTCACGAGGCCCAGTGCCTCACGAGGCCCAGTGTGTGTCAGTAACCGGGTGGGTGGAGCTTACCTCACGAGGCCCAGTGTGTGTCAGTAACCGGATGGGTGGAGCTTACCTCACGAGGCCCAGTGCTACCAGCCGTCTGGAGCTTCCACTTCATTCACTAGTGACTCTGCCACAAACTGAATGTGGCTGGTTTGTTGAGTTTCAGCCATCATGAGGGTTGGATGCCAGAGTTAATGATAATCTTATCCTTTCGTTATCTTTGGCGTCTGCCAGGATGTTTCTGTGATGCTCTGACTCAACTGTTAGCTGGTGGTTTGTGGGTAATGGCGCCCCCTCTCAAATACCAGTGGTTTTGTTTGTTCACTCAGCTCAGTGATCCAAGTCTGCGCAGCTTGGTCAGGTCATCGCACACCTTTTTTTTTTTTTCATTTATCAACTATATGAATATACAGACTTTTTAAAACCCCTTTGAAGGAATCGTCTGACACTTTGGGAAATGTGAGATTTGGATCAGAAGATTCACAGTGGAAAATGAAGCATCAGTCAGGAGCCAGCTTAAAAATGACAGCTAGCCTGGTTTTGTCCGAAGCTCACAGCATCCACCTACAAACACTTCTGAATTTGCTCTAGTGTGTTTATTTTCTGGCACAAAACGTCCTGTAAAACTACAATTTATTGTTTTAAGGTTTTACGTTTTGTACTAAACATATCTATAACACCTGAGTCACTTTTGGCACCAGACTGTTTCCCCCTGTTTCTGGTCTTTATGCTAAGCTAACAGCTTCACATATAGGCCACAGACATGAGAGGTGAGTCTTCTCCAAGTCTCTGCACCAAGAGGAACAGGCACGTTTCCTCAGATGTGGAACTGATCCTGAACCATGTGTTGTGAGCAGAGATAGCCTTCTCAGGAAGCCTCAGGCTGGCTTCACCTTTAAGCTCACTCAGCACATTAGAGCCATTAAAGCAGGAGACAGCTCAGAGGTTTCTCCCTGTGCCCGTGCACAGTCTGTATCACGTAGGTGGTTCTTCACCTGCTTCTCATCTTGTCCAGAAAATTAAAGCTACTTCAGAGCCGACAGCTTCCTCGCTGTCGTTGGAGGAAGGTCTTGTGGTTAATAAATACTCTGTAAGCACACAGAGGTTTCCATCCCTGAAACAAACACAACCAGGTTAGCATGTTTAAAGTAGCTTTGTGCACCCCCTCACTATCTAAGGTCAGGTGTGTGTTTTCTCGCTGTTTAGGGCAAAGTTCACATCTCATCCCAGTGTGTCACTTTTCAATCTGGATGTTTTCACTCAGCTTTGTGCAGATCTAAAAAGAAAACTGAATGCATAGAGATTGTATCAAACTTTTGTTTGTTAATACTGAAGAATTATTTTTGGAATAATTATTATAAACATTTTAAAACAGGAGTATTTTTGATGTAGGCTACATTCATTCTGCAGTTTGTGTAGCAAACCTTGAACATTGAGAGGAAAAAACAAATAATTCTCTAATTATTTTGTCATAAGGTGGAAAATATCTAATCCCAAAGTGTAAAGTTTGAAGAGCTTTAGTCTCAATGACTGTAAAATAAATCTTGAGGACACAATGAAAGCAGCTTTACACCTGAAGTAACTGTCTTGAAGCAGCTGACATGTAGTGGCCACATCTGGTGAAATGAATCCACAAAATAATTTATTTTCATCTATTCATCATATAAAACCAGAAACTGACTGGTGGTCCAGGAGGAGCTGACCCAGTCCTGCTGCTGGCGTGTGGCTGCACTGTCCCCGAGGCGTCTGGTGTTAGAGGGGATCACTATGAAGCAGCTGGATGTTTGTTCTCACCAGCTCTCAGAGAAGATACTGAGCTGGATCAGCAGTCACCTCACGTGTTTGGTCAACACTAGAAAGGCCAACTGTCAGAACGGGCTTGTTTTGAGTTGGTTGTCCTTGAGCTGTGCTAGTGGTGCCACTGACGACCGTGTGGGTCCATCGCTTTGCTCCAGACTGAAATGTCTGAGCAGTAACTGGATGGACCGTTGTGACATTTCATGTGTACATTTCTGCCTAGACAACGAATCCTACTGACTTTTTCAGTTGCACCATCAGCAGCTAAAAGTTTGTTTTTGTCCGGACGAACACAGGAATAATCAGACTGCTGGTCAGACTTGAGCCGATTATTGTGCGTTGCCCCTTTACACTGAAAGTTGAGTAACCACCACCACAACTTGGTCTGTAAGACACATCCACTGGACCTGTGGAGAACAAACAGTCTGCAGCAGGATTCACATCTACATGCCAACAGTCAGACATGAAGTGATGCACAGTGCACCAGCCAGGTTTTTCAAAACACCATTCTTGATTCAGGTTTAGGAGAATCAGCCAGGTCGGGTCCACTCCCCCTCCTCCTGAAGGGAAGCACCACCGTCATTGTTTCCAGTTTATTAGAGCAGCACAGAGGACGTGTCTCTGCTGTCACAGCGCTGCAGCTCAACAGAAAGCACAGTCGTGATTGGCCTGCGCATGGCGAACAGGTGTGTGCACAGCTGATGGATCGCCACATTATTTTCGTTATTTGAACTTTGGGGCATTAAAAACAGGATGGTTAGGTTTCTAAAAATCCTCTAAGGTTGATTTTTCCTTCCATATTCTCCATGTTTGGTGTTGGGGAGCTGCATTATTTTCTGGGATGATTAAAACAACTTTGCACAATGGCACCATGAGAAGTTCTTCTCTGCTTTCTGATCGTTTTGTGTAAATCATCTATTTATTCATAAGCACCAGCTCTTTTTTGGTGAACCTGGTATCTGGGTCCCAGTGGTTTCTGAACAGCTGTGTATTTAAAGAATAAAAGAATAAAATGAGTTTTATGAACCATGTTCTCTGAGATCTTTCTACAGAAACGACAGCTTCTGTTAGGTTACTTTGGCCTTTGCCTCCATTTTAAAAAGGCAGGTGAGGTGTGTGTGTGTGTGTGTGTGTGTGTGTGTGTAGGTGTGGTTTGTTCTCCTGCACCACCTCTTCCCTCCAGCACAGTTCATTTACACTCACGGCCTCCGTCTCAGCAGCAGCACAGGCATGAGTGGACGAGTCGGAGACCTGAGCTCCAGACAGGCTGCAATCTTATCTGAGGTAGGAAATCAATAATCAATAATCAATATGATTACAGGATCACTGTTCAGAATGGGCCAGGTCTGTACTTTATTGAAGGGGGGGCACAAGATGCTGCTTTAATTTCTCTTTTAGCAATAAATACTTACATTTGTGTACTGTACAGAGCAGTGGCGGGCCTTCAGTGGGGACTTACCCGACTTAATTCATCACTATCATGTTGCAATAAACCATCTATACTATAAAAATGCAATATAACAAAGCATAGCATTACAGAGAGAGGCATTTTGTGTATTGAGGGTGAATACCATTTTTACTAAAGCAGTTAACCCTCCTGTTATGTTGTGGGTCAAACTGACCCGACGTAAAGCTAAAACATCTAAAAACAATAGTTAAAAGTATTTTATTGGTATGAAACTTCTGCTCGGCTTAACAGGTATAATCAACATATAAAATGAAAACTGGTTCATTTCACATATTTGGGTAAAGTTAACCCAGGAACATCACTGCTGTTCCTGAGATATGAACATAGCAGGTTGGTTAAGACATTCAAACCTCTACACTCCGTACCACGTACATCATCTGGAGCAGTTCAGAATCAATATTTATCTAATAACATCACAAAAACATAAACATTTAAATACAATAAATCATATTCACCAGAGATGCTATTTATTTATAGACTAAATCCATCCTCCTTTCTTCAATGACTCTGTCATAGAGGTGATCTCTGCGTTTCAGTTCCACCACTAAGTCCTTTTCTACAGCCATGGAGGCCAAGGCTGCGGGTCGACTCTGTCCAGTCCTGTTCCTGGCACACGAGGGCAGGGAATGTAGGCTCGACAGCTGCAGTGGATATAGGGATAGTCGATGTGTACAGCTGTGGCATGCTCTCACTCAGGAAGTCGAGGAGATGAGAGGGGCATTTCCCTTCAAAGTCTGTCATAGCATACATCACATTCAATTCCGTGGCTCTGCGTCAAGCTGGAGGAGGCTGTGTGCGGGAATTTTATCCGATATGTGTGAAACCGCTGGTGGTTGAGGAGGGAAAGAAACATTAAGTGTTCGTGATCTTGAAATCTGTTCTGTATCTGGCAAAGAATGTTGTCCAGAACACTGTTGTGGAGTTTCTGGTAGTGTGCGCGAATGTCTCCTTGCGCAGGCCCACTCCGTGCGCTCGGAGCACCCGAGATGCCCACAGTGCAGACCTAGATAGCACCAAACCGGTCCGGCTCTCGCTCATGGGTGTCACAAAACTCCTTCACCCTTGGCAGACACAATTGTACATCCAGTGATTTGTTCTGTTCCAAAAATCCCACTGAATGCGTGAGGCAAAAAACTACACTCAGTCATCCAGACGTGTATTAGCACAACGCACGGAGTCTGTTTGTGGATCCAGCACTTTAATGGTGTCCCCTGAATGGAAGTTCCTGTTTACCCAAAAAGATGACACACTCTACCAGTCTTTTCAACATTTCCCTATTTTAATTCACCTTTTCACTGTGGAGCTCCGTTTCTCTGCGCACTTGTTCACTGCGCTGGAGATCAACTCTGGCTTCCCCAAATGTTCCCAAACGCACCGCAGCCTGCAAGTGCCCCGCCGTGGCTTGGTGTTGCCCCGCTGCCTTGGTTAGACAACTCAAGTTCGCAAACCCTCTGTGACTCCAAACACCAAGTGATCACTTGCAAATAACAGGCATTCCCAGTTATTTGCAACGCTCCTAGGAGGCTGTAAGCCAGTGGTACCGCTGGTAGGCACTGGTCTGGAAGTGGCGAACAAACCCTTTCCTGGGCTGAGACAGGCTAGCTAGCTTCGGGGTTAGCCGAGCTTTCCTCACGATGTCTAGCTTTTCTGTAAAAAGTCCGCCCTGAAAATGGATTTTTAAGTATCTCTGAAACCAAGTCAATTTCTTCTCCTCCGTCAGCCATTGTGGGTGTAAAAACTTCTAACAAAAATGTATTAATGTGTGCAGATCGCTACAGACATGTTTTGCTATTCGAACTTGGTTGTAACTGTTTTGCTCTGACCAACCAATCAGAGGACGGAAAAATGCTGACGTTATTGTGTGAGGCGAATTTGAAATCTGATTGGTTAAAGAAACAGTCCCATTGCTAATATAGTTTAAGTTACATCGACCTGCACTACTGATTCTGAAGGCCCTGGGCAGATTAGATTGACATGGCAACACATAGAGGCTGAAATCTGATTGGACAAAAAATCTAACATACACGTACTGGAAGCGGTGCAGCCAAGAGAAATACTACGACAATTTCATGGAACAAATATTAGAATTTAAGTTGTCAATGTAGGTCAGTGCTTCTGATAGTGTTTAGGCCAAAAGAGAAGGCCTTGCTGGCCCTGCCACTCAGTGACCTAGAGCTGCAGCCATGAGTCAGTTCACTGGTAGAAAATGAACCTCAGCTATTTAGAAGCAACAGTCACCGACATGTTCTGGTTCCACCTTCTTTAATGTGAGGAGCTGATGCTTTTCTTTGTCAGACATGAGGACAAACTGAATATCTGAATATCAAAATAAGAATCTGTACAGACCTGATTTTAGACCTGATACAGTCGCTCCTGACTCATTTTAGAATTTTAGTCCTGGCACCTGATTAATCACATTAACAACCCACATTCTAGCACCCGAGCAATCGGATGCATTTCGTGCATGTCCGAAATGTGGTCAGCCGTCTGCAGCCTGAGCAGGTCCACGGTTCCAAGTTAGTTCAGTGCTTCTGTGCTAGCACAAAGACAACACAGTACAGATGAGAGATCGCATTTTGTGGACAGAATCAACTGAAACCAGGCCACAGGAAGTGTATAATGTGTCTATATAACATTTATGGACGAGGCAAATCGAGCTGTGCAGCACCACGCTGTACACTATCACGACGGACAGCACCAGGGGAACTACTAGTTACATAAACCTTGTGGGTGCAGCCATCTTGTTTCAATATTAGAATGAGCATTTGTGTGAGCAGTGAAGATGTGGATTTGGGCCGATTGAGATGTATAGTCTGAGTTGTACACGATCAATAAGAGTCGCACAGTGTTTGTCCAGCTTAAGACGTGAAGACGCCACCTTTGGCTCTGGAAAGTCACAGTGGGACCTTTCCCTGGTGTTTGACATTCTGGGAATAAAAAGATCAATCAGACCATCAGGACAATGATCAGCTGATTGATCAGTGACCCTGTTGGTTGTAGTTTCCTTTGTCAGTTTCTCTCTCTCCCTCGTTCTGCTCTGTTACTTTCTCAGTTTTGTCCTTGTGTCTCTCACCCTCCAGGTCTGAAGGATATCCTCCATATGGTTTCCAGCCAATGGGATCAGCTACAGCGGCAGATCCGGCGCCAACATGGCTGGGTGCTCCCCGCCCCCCCCCGCGCCCGCG